CAATAAATATATAGCGTTATTTTTGCTACATATTCAACATCAATACAGAGAAGTGAAGTAACTAATGTTTCTTCATAAACAAGAAATTAACTGACCCAATTTTCATTATGTTCCTAGAAGCTATAATCTATTTTTAACCATAATCTTGAAATTTATAGTTTTTTAAAAATCTCCCTTAAATTAGAAGAGTTTGTGGGAATTTTAAAAGGTCAGATTAAGTCTAAAGTAGACCTAGAATATTTTATTAATTGCTAATACTTAATAGTTTTCTTATTTTGAGTTTATCATGTATATGATAATAAAGATGCTAAATAAATTTAGCATCTTTTTGCAATATTTGCTGCTGATAATATTGCCCTATACAGAATGACCCAAGTCATATATCTTCAAGGAGAGTTCTATGCCCTGAGTAAGAACAGCTTAGCTCACATTCATGGCCAGACCAAGAAGAAGGAAAGGTGCCTCCATCTGGCTCCTTATAATCATATTTCACTCCTCCCTGACTCAGATCCAAACAACACATAAAGCTCTGGTGACAACCTATCTCCCCAGGTACATCCTCCTTGCCTACCTTTTTATTTTCCTCAGGGCCTCACTCAGCTTTTTCATTCATGGCTGTCACTCTACCACTTGAGCCATGTCTCCACTTCTGGTTTTTTGCAGGTCAATTAAGATAAGTCTCTCAGATTTGTCTGCCTGGTCTGGTGTCAAACCTCAACCCTCATAGTAGCCTCTTGAGTAGTTGGGATTATAGGCAAAAACTTGGTTGTCCTGGTCTTTAAATCCACTATCTTCCACAACACAACACAATATACACAAAAATACAAGTGTTTGCTCCCAACATACTGGAATTATCTCATGTCATGCTGAAAACATATAATTAGGAAAGTTGCAAAAGAAAAAAAAGGCTGCAAATAGAACCCAAGCACAGTTGAAAGTATCATTTATAGAAAATGTTTTTTCCAGGGAAGTGAAACTGTGGCCCAAGTGGTAGAGAGCTAGCCTTTGAACACAAAAGCTTAGGGACAGTGCCCAAGATTTGAGTTCAAGTCTCAAGACTGGCACCAAAAAAAAAAAAAAAGGTTGAAAATGTAAGTCAGTTGCAAAATGTCCAATTGACATGCAAAAGGCCCCATATTGAATGCTCAGCACTGGAAAATAAAGAATATATATGTAACAGAATTTCCTGGATAATATTTCTTTAAAAAGAAAAATTGCTTTTCCAAATTGACTTCATATGAGTAATGTTTGTCTAGTTCAGTTATACTTCCAATAAGTAAAGCTAAGAAAAATATTCCATTTAATACTACCTGAAACAATGGAAACAAAACAACAAATCAAGCTGGGTGCTGGAGGCTCATGCTTGTAATCCTAGCTACTCAGAAAGCTGAGATCTGAGGATCAAGGTTCAAAGCCAGCCCAGGCAGGAAAGTCTGTGAAACTCTTATCTCCAATAAACCACCAGAAAACCAGAAGTGGCACTGTGGCTCAAAAGGTAGAGCACTTGCCTTGAGCTGAAAAGCTGAGGGATAGTGCCCAAGAGTTCAAGTCCCACTACCAAAAAAAAAAAAAAAAAATCACATTTATTTTCAGCTTTTTTTTTCTTTTCTTTTTGTTTTGTTTTGTCATGGGGCTTGAATTTAGGACCTAAGCATTGGCAAAGCTAGTACTCTACCACTTTAAGCCACAATGCCACATCCAGTTTTCTGATAAGTCTCACAGACTACCTGGGCTGGCTTTGAACCATGATCCTCAGATCTAGCCTCTTGAGTAGCTAGAATTACAGGTGTGAGCCACCAGTGCCCAGCTTATTTTCAGCATTTTGTACTATACTGAAATTTACCAATAGGTCTACATTTCACATATTTAAAATGTTTCTCCCAATGCCCTAATCCAAGTTAGTTTATGCAATATATATTATAAATATAATCGATTAAGAAAATATTTGACAACATTTCAAATTAATACATCTAAATGCATGGTTTGGGTTATTTTATGATACCAGGATTGGGGCCTCAAGGTGATCAGCTGTGTTCTACCACATATGCTACATTTTTCAGCCATGGTTTTTGCTGGTTATTTTAGAGATGGGGGTCTCACAGACTTTTTTGCCTAGACTGGCTCTGAACCATGATCATCTGTGTCTCAGCCTTCTAAAGTAGCTAGTAAGCTGCTGGAGCCTGGTTTATGTTTTAATAGCAATAAACTAATTTCTGAGTACTTACCATCAAAATAGGAAACTGAAAAATCACATACCTCTCATCGTTTTACATTGAACAATACTCTGAAGGACCTGCTATGAATAATGGCAGCAAAAATGTAACTTAATCGCAGCTCACTTATATAAGGTTATGCAGTACTAAAGCTTTTTCATTTATTTCCTTACTTGATCTCATGTCTCAAATACTTTAGATATGGAAACAAAAAAGAATCTAGATGTATGATGTTAACACTATAAATGTTTCTCAGAAATGATCATGACAAGAATTTCTGCTTATGCACTAAACTCCATGATATCTTTAAAACATTACATATAGTTTAAGGGCAGCTTATACTGTCAGTTTTATCTTGAACATGCCCAAGGCTGAGATCTAGAACAAGATTCAAAGTCAGCTTGGACAGAAAAGTCCTTAGTTTAGACTCCATCTTCAAAATAACTAACAATAGAGCTGAGGAATGGCTGAAGGACTCAAGTGGCTGAGCACCAGCCTAGCAAGCAACCCAAGTGAATGTGAGGCCCTGAGTTCAAATGTCAGCCAAAAATGAAAAGAAAAATTCTATATTCAATTATTTTAAATTCTAATTTCCTTCTATACTGCAAGTTATCCTAAGATTCTATCATTCAAAACTACCACAAAGGTTATTCAAATACAAAATACTCATTCCTACATCTGTCCTTTGCTTGTGTAATTTGTCTAGGGTAACATTCCTCATCCTCTCTCTAATATAAGCTTTTCAACTTTCTTCCCACAAGTCAAAAGTCATTCCATTCTAAAGATGCCCGCTGCCCAGCTTAGACAGAGACAGGCAGAATTCACTAGTCAGTTGGAAGAATAGCATCAGTGACGGAGAAACATAACTTACCTCAAGAGTCTGACACAAGCTAGGTTTGCGACATTATGTGTGTGTGTGTGTGTGTGTGTGTGTGCACGCGCGTGCGTGTGCGTGTGCGTGCGCGCCAGACCTTGAATTCAGGATCTGGGCACTGTCTGAGCATTTTTGCTCAAGGATAGTGCTCTTCCACTTGAGCCACAGCTCCACTTCTGGCTTTTTGGTGGCTAATTTTTGGTAAGAGTCTCACAGACCTTCCTGCCTAGAATAACTTGGAACCACAACCCTCCGATCTCAACCTCATGAGTAGCTACGATTACAGTGAGTCACCAGTACTAGGCTTCACAATAGACTTTTGGCAAGAACTTAGAACTCCTCATCTTCATTAGGGGAACTAAATAAAGGCTTGCATTCAAAACACTATGTACTATCCTCAGAGACTATGTTATATGGTTATCCACTTCCACTAAAAGTATTAGTGTTCTACTAGCAGGATCACACATAATTCCTTGCACACATCACACTACTGTGGTCACATGTAGGACGTGGGCTACTTTCTCACCATAGGCTAAGACCTCTACCTGACATAATAGTTTGCCAATAGTTCAGGTTCACAACAAACTGAGTGAATAAAATACTTGAAATTGTTACATTACTTACAGTGTATTTTTTTTCCAAATAGTCTTACTAAATCTACTGTGTCTCCTGCAAATCTGTACTGTAGCAGGGTGTTGGTGGCTCACACCTGTAACCCTAGATACTCACAAGGTAGAGATATGAGGGTCCCAGTTTGAAGCCAGCACAGGTAGGAAGGTCCATGAGATTCTTATCTCCAATTAACTAGCAAAAAGAAGAGAAGAAAAAAGGAACAAAGAAAGAGTGAGAAAGAGAGAAAGAAAGAAGGAAGGAAGGAAAGGAGGGGGGGGCAGGCAGGCAGGCAGGAAGGAACAGAGAAAGAAAGAGAGAGAGAACACCAGAAAGCAGAGCTGTGGCTCAAGTGGTACAGTGTTAGGCTTGAGTGAAAAAGCTAAGCAGCGACCAGGCTCTGACCTCAAGTCCGAGTACCAGCCCTAAATACACAAATAACAAAAATATACTGAGGCCCGCTGCATTTTAATTGAGAGAGAAAGAATTTTGTAGTGCTCTTGGTCTTTGTTCATTTTTTAAAGTATACACATACCAAAAAAACCCCACAATATGACCAACAGTATTCCAACTTATTCCACAAAAATACCAAAATTTAGACTTGTTACCAAAAAAACATCTTGTCAGTGTCCTTATCACCAATCCCACTAGTGACTAAGGCATCTTTCGTGTCATTTCTTTTTGGAAAACAAAATTCGACATTTTTAAATTGTGAAAAACACTAGAGTAGGCAAAGAATATAATTAATACTAGTGTGTGTATGTATGTGTGTGTGTGTATAGTCTGTACTTTAAAAGTTAGTGGTTATTATTTAAAGCTGAGTTAGTCTTCCAAATAGAATCAGAATGTTCGTAGGCAGTAGTCAGACTGGAAAGTTGAACTTCGACAGATGAAATGCAAAACGGTCATATGTAATATTATATAATATACATCCAAATAGCACCAATTAGTCACAGTATCTTTGGTACACTTGGACACCCTTTATGCATTACTGCCCTTGGAGTAATTACTGAGGGATGGGTTTAATTCTGTCCGTACCTCTGAGCTACTTGAACATTGTTTATATACATACAAGTGAACCTATCGGGGGGAAAGCAGAAAGGCCTGTTTTCTAGGTCTTGTATCCAAAGTGTGCCATACACACGGTTCTGCACCGAGAGGCGGCACCCTGGGAAGGCCCAGGTCCCGCGGCTGGGCGGCGGCTCCACCCCGACCAGACCCGCGCGGGGCGGTGGCCGGGAGGGGCGGGGCCGGGAGCGCAGCAGTATGGCGGGCCGATCCGAGTGGCGGAGGCGGTGTCTCACCTCCAGGTCCCTCTCCCAGCGCACGCAGCTCAGTTCCACGACCACCCAGGAGTCCCCTCCAGACAAAGGCAGAGACATTCGCTCGCTCTCGGGCCGCTCCAAGTTTATCAGGCTCTGACCGATTAGCTCTTGGGGCCGCTGGGCTTCGTAGTTCATCGAGGCGAGTCACAACACGCCAAGGCCGCGAGCGCCACGAGCCGCCGAACTACAATTCCCAAGATGCCCCGCGATGCAGAGCCCGCACTCCCGTTCTCCAGCCTCGCTCGGCGGCCCGCATCTCCTCCGGAACTCTGTCGCGCCCGGGGCCTGAACGTTCCCGGCAGGGGGGAATGGGCGGGGCTGTCAACTTGAAAAAACCCCACTTCCCAACCCTCGGGTTCGCCCCCCCCCCGAATCCCTCAGCTCCTTTACCTAAAGTGTCGCACAGGTCGCCGGACCTTCGGCGACGTGGTCCAGGTGGGATGGGGGACGGGGCGCAAACCGCCGCCGCTGCCTCCGCCGCGAGTCCGTTAATTCGCGACGTGCGTGAAAAGGCGGTGGCGGCGGCCGGGGCGTGCGGTTGCCATGGCAACTGGGCGCGCGTGCGCGCGCTGCTGAGTCAGCTTGGGCGGGGGGGGGGGGGGAGGCCCGGAGATGCGGAGGCACGTGCGTGCGCGGAGGGGAACGAGGTCGCCTGGGCGGTGCTTCGCCCGTGCCGAGGAGCCCAGGCCTCACGGAGCTGCGGCTCCCCGCCCCTCGCTGGGCCTTGCCGGGTGGGGATGCCGGGTGGGATGCGTGGAATCCTCTGCAGGCCCTTGTGTTTTCCTTTGCAACCCTTCCCCTTCCCGCCAGTCTCTGGGGAGCGGGGTGGCAATGAACCCGGAAAGCCTGCCTGGGCCTTTGGGTGGCTCGGGGGTCAGAGCCTGCCGTGGCTTTGGTCCGGCTTGAGTCTGGAGCAGTCGTGGGTTCCCCCCCCCCCCGGCCGTGGAGACAGTGTAAGCGGGGGAGGGGGAGTGTTAATGAACGTGGACTTCTAAACCTGCTCACCTTACTCCTCTGCTCTAGTGCCTGACGTTTGGATCTGCAAAATGAAGATACCCTATGAGACATAAACGCCGCGACACGGATGCAGCCGGACAATGGAGCCTGACATAGAACCATCGCTTTCCAATTTTAACGCCTTGATCTTGTCCTGGCAGCAGCAGTTGGAAGAACACCATTTGGCTGGCCTTGCTGGGAGAGCCCTGGCTGAGGAGAGAGTGTTCTGTGGTGATACAAAAAGGTCCATCTCGAAAAGGGTCTAGGTTCAAGAAGTGTCTACAGATTTCAAAGCTTAGGGGCCAGGTACCGTTATGATTTGAACAGTGGGCTGTATGTAAATTTACCTCATAAGGAGGTAATATCATGACAGTACCCTTTGGTACCGTTGATACAACCTGTACCCAAAAAAAGACAGGAAAGTAAAACAGACTCTGTTGAGGGAGTGGGTACCAGCCGGAGTGTGGTGTGCACACACCAGTAATCCTACTTACTCAGGAAGTTGCAATCTAAGGATCACTGTTAGAAGCCAGCCACGGCAGGAAAGTCCATGAGACTCAAGTGGAAGAAAGCCAACTTTGAGTTAGAAAACTAAGGGACAGTGCCCAGGCCCTGTGTAGGCACAGAGAATGGGGGGAGGGGGGCGGGAAAGGGGGGAGAAAAGAAGAAGAATATGGTAGAATAGTTCTATTCACATATATAAAAATAGAACAAGGACTAGAGTATGAGAGAGTAATAAAGGGAGTTTGGTATAGATACATTGTATGCATGTATGTCAAAATGAAATCGTTTGTAGTGTATACTAATAAAAAAGATTCCTGGGTTGGGAAGGTGGCTTAGTGGTCGAGTGCTTGCCTTGCACACATGAAGCCCTAGATTCGATTCCTTAGTACCACATAAACAGAAAAAGCCAGAAGTGGTGCTGTGGGTCAAGTGGTAGAGTGTTAACCTTGAGCACAGAGAGGCTCAGGGACAGTTCCCATGCCCTGAGTTCAATCCCCAGGACTTGGGGGGGGGGGGAGATTTGTACATTACATTGTATGTGATTTACCTCAAAAGGAACATGATATATTAGTTGTAATTTAAGCACTAATAGTATCCATAGAGATATTCCTAGGCCTATGAAGGCCTAGGAAGTGACATCTAGATATTTAATAGGAAAAAAGGTCGGGAGTAGAGAGTGAATTACTGACCTTGTCATTTGCTAATAATGTCATTTGCTAATAATAAATTGTTGAAAATAGCAAGTCACTGTGTTGTTGGTTAGGGTCACCCTGTCAGAGACTGTTGAAATTAGCTGAGTCTCTTATCTACCTCTTGGGGAAAAGCCTCAGGTTCTCTCCAAGACAGCACAGTCCTGGGGCACATTCAATCTCAGGGTCACGTCTGGCTCTTAGTTCTTGCTTTTGCTGAACATATTTTATCTGCAACTCATATCCCTGCTGCTGGCATTTCATGTGAAAAGCAGCCCCTTTTCTTTGGATGTTTATATAACACACTCTTCTAAAGATCTGAAGTAGCTGAGAGAGGTTTTATGTGAAAGACAAAAAAAAAAAAGTCTCAAATTACCTCCTTCATTCCCTTCCATTCCCTCATGGCATTTTTATCCCAGCCCTTCAGCATAAACCATCACCTCCCACTATCCATCTCAACCTCCTGAGTAACTAGGATTATAGGCGTGAGCCACCAGTGCTCAGCCTCTTTTCACTTTTTATACAGTATTTTTAGTTATTTCCAGAACCTAATCTATGCCTTTAGGATTATCTACAATTCTTAAAACTTTTCCCCCTAAGTATTTTCCTGCTCAAAGAAAGCATCCCAAGAAGAATTTTCATGCCAGTTATTAAAATAATGTTAGCACATTATATGTCTTCATATTCTACAGCAAAATAGATGTTTTCATTCATTTTCCCATAAAGCTACCAACTTCCACTAAAAATATGACAGCCTTTGAACAAATCTAAACTTTTCACTTGATCACTTAAATTCAGCACGTTCCATTATATTGATAAGGGGCTTTCCAAAGAGGCAGATTTTCACAAAAATAAGGGCAAAGAAAGATAACCTGTCATATAATTTAAGCTCAAGTAACTGTAACATGGTACTAACATAAAGCTTCTCCTTATCAACTGAGCTGCATAGTGGGGGAGTGGGCAGGAATTTAAGATTTTTGGCTGTGAAATTTTATGCTTTGTAAATCACTTTTGGTTTGTTTTTGTTGTTTTTCGTGCGGGTCCTAGGGCTTGAACTCAGAGCCTGGACACTGTCCTTAAGCTTTTGTACTCAGGGTTACTACTCTTAAACTTTGAGCCATAGCTCCATTGCTGGCTTTTTGATAGTTAATTGGAGATGAGTCTCACAGACTTTACTGCGCAGGTTGGCTTTGACCAGGATCCTCATATCTCAGTCTCCTGAATAGCTAGGATTACAAGTGTGAGCCACCGACCCCTGGCTTTTCTTTTATTCTTTCTTAACCACAATTAAGATCATAAATATAAATTTGCAAATAAGATGAGCCTACTGTAATTGAGTGAGTCATACAGTAGTTAGTCAATAAATATAAAGATGTTAAATACAAGTTAGGCATGATGGTTCATGCCTATGGTCCTAGCTACTTGGGAAGTGAAGGTAGAAGGCTCACAGTCCAAGGTCAAACCAGACAAGAACACAAGACCCTATCTGAAAACTAAAAGCAAAAGGACTGGGATTGTTCAAGTCCTTGCTAGGCAAGTTCAAGGAAGGCCCTGAGTTCAATCCCCAGTACCACCAAAAACATAATTTTCTTTCATCGATGGGAGTGGTTTATTCTACTTAGAATAAATGGGGAAGAAGATGATAATAGCTGAAATCTGATTTCTATGAAGAGAAAGGCAACCAAAGTCTGTATAAACTTAGATTATATTGTATAGAAGAAATGATAGCATGTACGTCATAAAATCCAGAACAAAATGTGAACATTAAGCCATAATGACATCCTTAGAGAAGCAACACCTGGACTTGTCACCTGTCACTCTGGTCACAATTCTCCATGTATAATGAGCCTATAAATAGGTTCCCCTTTACTCCTAGTGAAGCTGATACTGATAATGGTACCAGCTGAACACATGTTTTTGTAGTAGGAATGAGCTTCATCTGATCCACCCATTCCTCATCAGGTTTCCCTTGTCTCTGCAAGGCAGCTGGCCACGGTCATAGTACAATCTGTAGCCATGAAGAGGTCTCTAAAGGCAAGATCCAAGGGCATAACTCTCCTTGGTTGGTTTTTTTTAATTTTTTTGTGACAGGATCCCAGAGAAGTCACTTGAGAATGGGTGACAACAGACAGCTGCTCTGAGAGAGTTGGGGGTAGGCAGTCATGTGAAGGGAGACCGTGAGTCACTGAAGCAGAGCCTTAAAACTCCTTGCAGGCTGTGGACAGCTGGCAAGGAGAAGAGACCAATAAGAAACATTGGTTTATTGTTTTTACCAGGTACTTTGGACCCATTGAGGTGATAAACACACTATGTAAACCCAAAAATACAGAGCTGAAAGCATTAGCATCAATTCCCACAGCCATGTAGTCAAGAGACTCCATTCTTAAAAAGAGAGAGAGAGAGAGAGAGACTCCATTCTTGTTAAAGTGACTTAGCATCTGGTCTAACATGAGATGTTTTCCTAGGTTCTCCTGTATTCTTGGCTTCCATAAGCATTTGACACCGCTGATCCATGAACTTGGTTCTCTCTTCCATTCCCCCTCCCCATTCTTATGGTATTATTTAGAACTTCTACCAGCTGCTTAAATGAGAGGATAGTTCCAAGTGTTACAGCTCAATATCTTCATTTCCAAGTTTGCACCTCTTCACCTCTCAAAACTCTGGTTTATGCTCAGATTTCTCTCATTGGTTTTTCTCCCCAAGTTCCATTACTGCACCAAAGTAGGCCTTGTGCTTCATTATCTGGTTCTATTGCTTCTGTTGTGATCTTCATCTGAAATGTCATTCCCTCACCCCATCTAAATTCTTATTTTGCAAAAATTAATTCAAGCCTTTACATGGAATCTTTCCTAGTCATTCCTGCTTA